CGAAGTCTCTGTCTCATTCAAGAATACTACAGTAGTATCTACTCATTCTAGTAGTATCTACTGAATATTGTAGTAAATGCACATTGGGGTGGGGGGGACATCACACTGTTCAGGATTTACCTCAGCGTGTGCTTGTGCAGCAGCAACTGTGCTTGATTTTTTTTAGCCATTTTCAACGCGAGGGAGAACCTCCCTCCTGTCGCCGCTAAGAAAGCTTGTTTACGTTGCTAGGGGGCAACCGCGAGTTGGCGTTTCCATGTGTAGTGGGTTCAACTGAGTCGCACACTTAAACTTGGAGGCAGTGCGTTTATTAATGAATAATTAACACAACGGGGTAACTCTACCCCTTAACGAGATAACAACCTAGGGTGGTGACCACCCCGGCTAACTACGCAGGTTATGGGATAACTAACAACTTCCGACCAGGACAGCTAACATGCTGCCTGTGCCGCGTGCCTGAAGACTGGAGACCGAAGATCCAAGACGAAGGGTTTGTTTCCCGGGAAGGACAGCCACGATCTCTCCCGGGACTCGGCTTATATCCCCTGCGACGTGGCCGGGCTCCACCTCTGGCCACGCCCCCTTCCAGAACCCTCCCAGGGAACCTCAGTCCCTATCACATGACCCTCACACCCCCCCCCCCTCAACTCGTCCAGTCAAGTGTCCTCTCGGGTCACCCAGGCTGCCATGACCTCACTTGACCTTCTCCTCAGGCTGGCACACACACACTGTACTCCTCTAAGCCCAGTACTGCACTACAGTATGTCACTACACATGCATGTGCAGAAGCGTTCTTTGGCACACATTAAAGTTATCATTATGATCAGCGTACATTGTTACAAAGTGTGATATTATTAGAAGCTTTCGTGACTGCAGGAATCCATACTCTTTGGTTCTTTTGGTAAAGTCACGTAGGTATAAAATAAGATAAAACACGACGTTTCGGGTGCAACACAAGCGTCCGTCATTAGGTGGGAAAGCATGGTCTGCAATTGAGGCAGACTATTTGAAAAAGTTTGAAATGGGTGACTTTACCAAAAGAACCAAAGAGTATGGATTTGTGCAGTTACGAAAGTTTCAAATCAAGATTGAACCGCCTCTACGGGGAGGGCTTCTGCACATCTGTTAGAGCTTTTAACAGACTACGAGACAAGAAGGCTCACCTGATCAAGTCGCTAACCTTTCTCAAGAGATGCCGCGATAACAATACTGGTCGCATTTACACTCACATCTGCTACTGTCACGTCTCCTAAGGCTAAACGGATCTTGTTCAAAGCTAGCCTATCGCTGATCTCAGAGAGAATAAGATTGCTCCGATTTGAACTTGATAATTTAGACAAAACTCTCTTACAATCACACTTAAAATTAACAGATAAGATATCCACATTTGATTGGGACCATGTAGATAACATGACAGCTTCTTTTGCCAATTCAATGTGAACCAAATGTAAAGTTAACTTGATCGCTAAATTCAACCTCCTGTCAAAAAAGCCAGAGCCGCACGTTAAAAAGTTAGCGGTTAACAAGATCGTCATCAATCAAAGTAACATCCCAATTTCCGACAGCTGAAAATTAGCACGAGCCAAAGGGTTGAATTTCGCAGTCACCCCTAAACACATCCCAGTGGATGATATAATTGCCCAGGTCGACGTAGCCCTCAATGGCTTGGGACACATCCCGGCAGACGTTACTAGATCTGAATTCGCCATCCTCAAAAACGCTAAGAAACCCATTAACAACATCGTCAAAAACGAGCGTTTTGAACTCTCTAAATAAAAAAGAAATGCAATTGTCATCCTCTCAGCCGACAAGGGCAATGCCACTGTCATCATGGATAAAACCTCTTACAAGAAAATTCAAGACCTTCTTAATGATGGCAGCTATACCAAAATCAACAGAGATCCCACCAACCACCTAGCGACAAAAAACAACAATATCATCACTAAATCGACTTCTCTAATCGATCAGTCCAAGCAGAGCTCTCTAAAACCTTCGGCTGCTAGACCACCCAGATTATATGGCCTTCCAAAAATCCACAAAGTAGGTACCCCGCTCCGTCCTATAGTCTCCACCATTAACTCACCCACGTACAAACTGGCCGGATTTCCTTCCGAGACCCTGCTTCCTTTCACGGGCAAGTCCACATCAGCTGTACTTAACTCAGTTCACTTAGTTTCTCTAATCAAGGACATATCACTGTCTCCAAAAAATTTGCTTGTCAGTTTCGATGTAGTCGCTCTGTTCACCAATGTACCTGTATCTGACACCATTGCAATCATTGAAGACTTGGTCCAACAAGGGCGGAATCCAGATGTACCAACTTTGGTAAGGCACTACCTTACCAACACATACTTCACCTGGAATGGTACATTTTACAAACAAACTGAAGGCACCCCAATGGGTTCTCCCTTATCACCAGTGGTAGCGAATGTTTTCATGGAGAAATTTGAGACAGATGCCATGCAGACATCCACCCTACGTCCTTCCTTGTGGAAGAGATACATGGATGACACGTTCGTCATCTGGCCACATGGCCTGCTAACACTGAACCAATTTCTCAACCACATCAATTCCATACACCCGTCTATCAAATTCACCATGGAAGTGGAAAAGGATGGCAAGCTTCCATTCCTGGATGTTTTGATCAAGAAGAAACCTGATGGCTCGTTGGGACATTCGATCTACAGGAAAGCCACCTACAAGGATGCCTATCTAAAGCCTGACTCCCACCACCATCCAGCCCAGAATTCCCTCATCAAAACACTACACCATAAGGCCCTTTGAATCTCTGACCAGCACCACCTAGCCAGTGAGTTGGAGCACGTACATCAAGCCCTCAGGATGAACGGATACTCGGGCCGTACAATCCGCAAAGCTGTCTCCCCACCCATGCGGAGACAACCTTCTGAGGATCCAACCAAAACTATCACTTTACCGTACATAGCAGGCGTTACCAAAATCTTAAACAAACACCAGATCCAGGTTCGTTTCAACACAGTACACAAAATCCGTGATTTAATCCCATCTGTAAAGGATGTGATTCCTGACATACAATACCCAGGTGTCTGCAAACTGAGTTGTGGTTGCGGCAGCAGTTACATTGGGGAAACAAAACATGTCTCGGACCGCGTTCATGAACACAAGGCAGATCTGAAACACGGTAGGACAAATACCTCTGCCGTTGCCGATCATTGTTTTAATGCTGCCTTCAGAGATTTGTTCATGAAGCTATCCAGATATATAAACACAGACACAACTTCAACCGAGAGGATGGGTACAAACTGAGCAATTGGAAGGACGTTATTAACCAGGTAAAGTCTGAACTGACTGTGATGATTCCATCCTACCTGCCTATGTCAGCTGTTATTTCTGACTGTCTCTCTCAGATCTCTCATGCTTACATGTCCTTTGCATTTCACTCTCATGCCTTTGGATTGCACTCTCATACTCACCTGTGCTTTTGATTGCACTCTCATACTCACCTGTCCTTTGGATTGCACCCGTTGGGTTGCACTCATGCCTTTGGATTGCACCACTCTTCGATTTTACATTAACATGCTAATCTCTCACATTAACATAGCCACTTCCGTGCCCTCATCTAGGAGGCCGCTTTGGATTGCACCACTCTTCGATTTCACATTAACATGCTAATCTCTCACATTAACATAGCCACTTCCGTGCCCTCGTCGAGGAGGCCGCTCTCCTATCTTACAGTTACATGCTAATTTATCACATTAACATCACTAGCCCCGGCCACTTTGACTCTTGGGATACACCCATTTCAAATATTTTAAAAGTCTGCCTCAGCAGCAGACCATGCTTTCACACCTGATGATGGACGCTTGTGTTGTGCCCGAAACGTCGTGATTTATTGTATTTTATATCTACGTGACTTTACCGAAAGAACCAAAGAGTTTGTGATTGTATTAGTTTACATTGGACCAATTAGGCCTCAGCAAGGTAAGTTACCATTTTTACCGGGTAAAAGGGTAAAGGTGTCGACATGCCAAGGGGTAAGGTAAAGGGTAGGGTAAAGGTAGCTCAAAATAATTACCCAGTAGGGTAGAGGTAGCGCAAAGTATTACCCGGTAAATACGGTACCTTGTTTACCGCTAAAAGCTCCGTGGCGCAGTCCGTGGCCTCCATTTAATAATATATTTTTTTAAAAATTAAAACACGCTTTTATGAAATGTACCGTACTAGTAATGGCAGAACTCCACGACTCCAGAAAGTGGCCCCAAAGCTTGCCATAACGTAAGGGAGCGTGGCCAATTACAGTCAATGTCAGTTGACCCAAGGGTAATTTGACCCAAGCCAAACATAACATATAAAAAAGAATGTTTAAAAACATATATTTTTTTATGATAGAATATATTGTCATCAGTATGCCATAAGTATACCAAGATTGCAGTCGATACCACATTTGGAAGTGGGTTAAAATTGACTTACAAGATTTGAGGATACGACAACAGAGCGAGTTAAAATAAAGCGTGTAAAATTGGAATCATCAAGAGCATTCTATTTGTATAAAGCGCTCTACCTAGCATTGACCGTTATAAAAAAATTGTTTAGTAGTACCCCAGTAATTACCCTGTAATCGGGTAATTTGTATGGTGTAAGGGTAAAAGGTAGGATAAAGGTAGGCTCGTTGCATTTTATCTTTTACCTTACCTGCTAAAGGGTAAAAGGTAGGGTAGAGTGATTGTATTGTGGTAAGGTAAAAGGTAAGGTAAAGGTAGGCTTGTTTTTTTTACATTTTAACTTTTACCTTACCTTGCCGAGGCCTAGGACCAAGGGCAAAAACAAATAGCGAGTTTTCGTCCGGGGGCTTAGTTTGTTGTATCCGTGTACTTTGCGGGGGGGGGGGGGGGGGGGGGGGCTTAGTTTGTTGTACTTGTGTACTTTGTTGAAACGTAAACCCAACAATTTGTCAGTTAAAAGTTACGATAGGCGTATGCAAACAGACAGCCAGACAAAAAAAACACGTTTATTAGTTAAGATAATATAACATAATTAGCTTGGCAGATCACTGTTACAATTCAGTGGGCTCACATGACATTGACTTCTCCAAGACAGAGGTTCTCTGCAAGCCATCTGGCTACCATGAGAGATTCGTTCATGAGGCGATCCACATATACAAACACAGAGACAATTTCAACCGAGAAGATGGATTCTGGCTCAGCAATCATTGGAAGGACGTAATAAACCATTTCGGATCTTAACTGTGTTCACGTTTACGGTGACTTTCAGACCGCAGTCCACTCACTGGCATTGACTAAATATATTTTGCATTCTCCGCAGGGAATGGAGTCTTTGCTCCACTGCAAGTCTCCTTCCACCACTCTCCCATTGACATATTTCGCTGCTTCCTCTTAGTACCTTTCACGTGACGGTCAATGGTATAGCGTATAGCAAATTGTATAATAATAAATTGTATAAAAGTGTAATGTTTAATATAATGTATAAGGTAATATATAGTATCGTAATTGTATAGTGTGGTATACAGTAGGGTGGGTAGAATAATACATAGTGTAATATTACAATGTATAGTCTAAGGTATAGGGTGGTGTAAAGTAATGCAGTATATAATTTAATTTTGGGTTTGTCTATGGCAATATATAGTACGGGGTAGATCCGTGTGATGTAAGGAAAAAGTTTAGCTGGAGGCATATTATATTTTTTGCGACATAGAATTGTAATGTATGACTTACTGTTAATAGCTCAGCTTATTGGAGAGTATATTTAGCATATTGATGATACTGATGTAGTTTATATTAAAATTTTTTACGTGGTGGTTTAGCTGCTGCAGCTCCTTACAATTAAAATTCCTTCCCTTTATTACTGCTAAAACTACTCCCTCCCTTTGATGCTGCAAATCCTACATAATGCACGGGCATATGACTTTGAGACCCCCCACCTCCTACACATTCCACAAGCAGTGACTAATCCCATATCTGCATTTCCATAAATATGCTAAATTCCTCTTGATATGCAAATTCCTTTGTCAATGCGCCCTTCCCCCTCTAACCCAGCTTAAATATACGCTGCCAAGCATGGTGGTGCTCATTCAGACGCTGTCTTTCCGACAGACCTGTTCTTCACCTGACAGCTGCTTGCGTTGTGGCCGAAACATCGTGAGAATTGTATTGTATTGTTTTATTTTTATTATTTTATTATTTCCCTTCCACGTGACTTTACCGAAAGAACCAAGAAGAAAAAACATAATTAGCGTTTTGGAGAAAATATCTCCTTTATGTAACATTTCAGTCTTTCCCTTGTGTGTACTATATTCGTGATTTCGAAGACAAACAATGAGTTGGAGGATAATGTTCCTAAGCTACAAAAAATACCTTCGACTCTGTATCACATGACCAACAGCAGTCACGTAAATGTTCCGCACAGGTTACTGTCAAAAGAAACGTTCGTCTAGTTAGGAGATTCCATTTTTGACAATTTTATACCAAATGGTACGTACAGCAAAATCTCTATCACGTACGTTACCATCCGGAATGCTCTATTAACTGGAATCTGTCAAACGGCAATATAAATATCCCTTCACGTATCGAGAAATATTCTGGCATCTCTCAGCGTGTATTAGGACATTGCCGAGTGGTGGCACAAATGGAGTCGCAATTTCAATCATCTGCCGCCATTGTGATCGTGTTGTGGGCTGCCTAACCTAATTGTTTCACTGTACTTGTACATACAGTACTGCGCTACTGTACACTGTAATCTGCTTCTCTACAATAAACTTAAAATCCTGTTCAAATGACTGGTGAGTACCTCTATAAAAGTTAATTGTTTTGAATAGCACAGTTAAAATGTACGCTTAATTTCTTCGTTGAAAATGTTTTAATACTTGAGAAATTTGAACCATAAAGTATACCTCTCAAATAACCGGCACATTTGATGAACTGGCACCCTCGATTCCCCATGAATGCTGGATAAGAGCTTTTGATGTATATGCTCAAAATCAGATCATATGTGTTAAAATTCTAATTCTAAATAATCAAGAGACACATCGCCAACATTGAATTATTGCATTGAAATATATACTGCATCACATTACATCACAGTTACTGTACACTGATCTCTGAATGTATGCCTACACCTGCATGCATTCTTAGAATGAGAGAAGCCAAGTGAGAGCACGGTTCATATCTGTCCGGCAGCCCTCATGATTACTGCAGCAATATTGACCATCTGCTTAACAGTGGATGTTCAATATTCATGGTCAAAATTTGCCAGATTTGCCACTAAACTACCCAACTGGGGTTACACATCAATCATCGGTCCACCCTACTGGCAGACTCATGTCCACATGCAGGTCGGTACTGAGTCACCTTGTACCACAAAGGGACAGCTGCCACTTGGGCGAGCCGTCGAACGATTGAGATGAAATATTATGCAAGCCGCTGTTAGTTGCTGAAGCATTTCACCTTTGATTAGCAAGATTGGCTACGTACAGTGAGAAAGAAAGAAAATATTTATGCAAGCGCCAATTATGAATGTAAATATTATTATAACACGTTGAATGCTGTGGAGATTTTTTGTCTCCCGCTCCTGCTTACAGATCTACCCAGCCCTCCAAGTCCACACATACTGGCCGCTCCTACTCTACATCCTCCAAAAAGTCCACCTAACACAAACTGCTGGGTTTCATTTCACTCTCTCTCAGTCCGCAGCCTCCTCCAGCTTCACTCCGACTTCTTGGAGGTTAAAACCTTGCAATGGGAAAGGTACAAATCTGGCTGTCACCTGATGAAGCTCGTTGTAATGACTGGCGAAACATCGTACTCAGATTGTAAATGTGGCTTGGCTCTCCAACACACCGGTGTGTTGTACTGGTGACGAATTAGCATGTTCTGTTTATGTGACAACCCTTACTAGTTGGCTGTGTCGGGTGGTGGCGGGTTTTAATGACAAATGTATATATTTATGCGATCTAACCAAAAAAAACTCTTATGGGAAAGGCCTGTGAATGAAATGGAACTTGTTTATCTTCAGGTCAATGATATACATCTACTTGGTCTCCATTTGACTCAGGATTGCCTAAACAATCCACCCACACCTCCACATCCACAAATTGCTGGGAGTTGCCTCGCTCTGCCTCAACGTCCACAGTCTCCTCCAGCTTCACGCTGCCTCCATCGGTGTGAAGGTCGGATTTTGGAGTTGAATCTTCTACGTCACATTTCACTTATCACTTCACTCTTTACCATCACTTCTTCGCTCTTCACCGATTCAAATGTAATTTTCACTTCTTGACATTTCGCCTTCACTCCTGGCCACGTTTCATATCCCAAATGTTTTTCTGGTTCTTGTTTCATGAGGGACGGACTCATTGCAGCACTTTGTCTTTCACAAGCCGATTTCAGATTAATTTCCTGATGAATGGTTTGCTGCTTGTTTCGATCCCCTAACTGTCTAAAACCCTTCCCATACACAGTGCACTTTAAGGGTTTGTCTCCTGTGTGTATTCTCTGGTGTGTTTTAAGATGTGATGACTGTGCAAATGCCTTGCCACACAAAGTACATTTGAAGGGTTTTTCTCCTGTGTGTGTTCTCTGGTGTCTTTTAAGATGCCCTAACTGTACAAATGCCTTCCCACACACAGTGCACTTGAAGGATTTCTCTCCCATGTGTGTTCTCTGGTGGCCCTTAAGAATTGATGAATGTGCAAACGCCTTCCCAAACAAAGTACATTTCAAGGGTCTGACTCCTGGGTGTATTCTCTGGTGTATTTTAAGATGCGATGACTCAGCAAATGCCTTCCCACACACAGTGCACTTGAAGGGTTTCTCCCCCGTGTGTGTTCTCTGGTGGCCCTGAAGAGTTGATGACCGTGCAAATGCCTTGCCACACAAAGTACACTTGAAGGGTTTTTCTCCTGTGTGTTTTCTCTGGTGTCTTTTAAGACGTGATGAATGTGCAAACACCTTCCCACACACAGTGCACTTGAAGGGTGTTGCTCCTGTGTGTATTCTCTGGTGTCTTTTAAGAAGTGATGACTGTGCAAAGGCCTTCCCACACATAGTGCACTTGAAAGGTGTTTCTGTGTGTATTCTCTGGTGTGTTTTAAGATTTGATGACTGTGCAAAGGCCTTCTGACACACAGTGCACTTGAAGGGTGTTTCTCCTGTGTGTATTCTCTGGTGTCTTTTAAGATGTGATGAATGTGCAAACGCCTTCCCACACACAGTGCACTTGAAGGGTGCTTCTCCTGTGTGTATTCTCTGGTGTGTTTTAAGATGTGATGACATTGCAAATGATATCCCACACACAGTGCACTTGAAGGGTGTTTCTCCTGTATGTATTCTCTGGTGTCTTTTAAGAAGTGATGAATATGCAAACGCCATCCCACACTCAGTGCACTTGAAGGGTGTTTCTCCTGTGTGTATTCTCTGGTGTGTTTTAAGATGTGATGACTGTACAAATGCCTTCCCACACACAGTGCACTTGAAGGGTGTTTCTCCTGTGTGTATTCTCTGGTGTGTTTTAAGATGTGATGACATTGCAAATGCCTTCCCACACACAGTGCACTTGAAGGGTTTCTCTCCCGTGTGTGTTCTCTGGTGGACCTGAAGAATTGATGAATGTGCAAACGCCTTCCCACATACAGTGCACTTGAATGGTTTCTCTCCCGCTGATTGTCTTTGCTCCATCTGACCAATTCTGTACAGCAAAGTGGCAGAGGAACTGGCAGCTGCAGACAGAAGACAGTAATATCCACACAATGTAAGCATAGAAATGTATATATATACACAATCACATGTGATATTCACATATTACATAGACAAGAACACTCAAACATTAACGAGAAAAAAAAAATCACCCCCAATTCATCACACAAGCTGATTTAAGGCACTTGCTACTATAGTAGGCAAGTGGTCAGTATAATGCCTGGAGACCCTAGTATATTTAAAATCAATGATAACCCATAACTACATACAGCATTTCGGTTGTATCTGGCTACTGAAGAAATATTAACTATTGCAAAAGTCTCATAAAAAGTAGCTAATGGTGTTAAAAATAAAACTATTTGGATTGGTCAGAACTATTATAAAATAGACGTTAATGTTCAATTGCAACTTGGAAGTCAGAGGTCAGGCTCAGATTTGCTTGAATGCTCGGAGGGACAGATGTAATTTCAGCTTTATGAGCTGTGTTTTCCATGCTTATGAAACGTTCCCTGTGTCAGGGACTGTACAAGAGAAGGTTCTAGAAGGCGTGTGTTGTGATGATTGGAAACAGGTGACCGGAAGGCACTGTAAGCATTATTCAATTAAGGACATGTTATAGTAAAGTGAGGGGGGGGGGGCGGGGCCGAGCGAGTATATCAGGGGGAGCGAGGCCCGCGGTCGGGGCACATATTCGGGGACTAATTGACGACCAAAGGAGAGGTGGACGACATTGGGGCCGACCATGGAAACCATTGGGGTTGACTATTCAGCTATCAACTTGCAGGAAAGCATCGGGGCTGAAGATAGCCATAGCAATTACGATTGTGCAGTCGTTACACTTGGACTGTATATACGTTCGGAGAAGTAAAGGTCTACTCCCCTGAAAATGGATGTCTCCAAGGAGCTTCTTTCCAGGTGTAATAAAAAACTATTGCTTTGATTAAACCTAGGTGTTTAAAATGGTCATTATACTTTACATCAAATAAAAACTTTACACTCTCATGCACTGGAACGGTGAAGAAGGTGGTGTTGTGGCTATAACCATGCCTGGCTGCCTTAATCTGCTCAGTACAGATGCTCATACTCTTCACCAAGTACTTAACAACCTAGGAACAATCAATGAAGCAGAGGCCTACAATAAGTTAAGCTATCACTTGTCAATCATGTCTGCTGTCTTACCTATTGTCATTTTGTGTCTGTTTTTTTTGTGTGTGTGGCCGAAAGTTGCGAAGGATATGGCTCGCAAACCGTGGGGTTTACTTTTAAGAAAGTACCCAGGTAGCACGCCATAAGCCTCAGGCTGAGCCAGCGCTATTCCGATTTCGCGTCCGTCACCTTTAAAGTAGTTCAATTAGCGATTTAGTGCTATTTTGGGTTATTTATTTCTTACACAGCGCATGCTCGACCCTACCAACTCACACGCGTTCGGTGGGGGGGAGGGGGCAATTCTCTTTCGTGTGGACACTGCGAAAGGTAACACACACAGATTTACAGCTCCCTTCAAACATTTATTACCATCACTTTTTACTCATTACAAATTGCCTTTTATAGGTTCGATTTTATGACAGGGATTAACCAATGTTTTATGACAGTTACCACAAGTAACATGATTTTTCTCTCCGACTACTAAGTGCTACTTTGAAATTGTTATGTACAAAATGCCTATTATTCCCCACTATCTTTGCTTTAACGACCACGTCTTTACGTGAGGGCATGACACTTATGCTCATGTTTTCTCTTTGAAAATAGGCACATTTCTAAATATCACTGTCCTGCTCACAAAAACAGGTTTGAGGGGAAGAATAGCCTTTTTCTGTACTCTTGAGACGTAAGCAGCCACATAATAGCACTTATTGCACAGGGGCAAACCAATAAATATACTCATTGCTATTACATCTTCATACCTACTATAATCACCCAAGAATGTCCTTAACGCTCATGACATCACTCCACATCGACCAGCCCCCCTCATTAATATTCATGAGCAGGTGACGTCCTCCAAATGGACACCCCCCACCCCTCCTCATTAATAATCACGAGCAGGTCACGTCCTCCACATGGGCCCACCCCTCATTAATAATCATGAGCGGGTGACGTCACTCCGCATGGAGAACTCCCCTCAATAATCATGAAGAGGTGACGTCCTCCAAATGGATAACCCCTCCATTAATAATAATTAGCAGGTGACGTCACTCCACATTGGGGGCGACGTGCCTCCTCCCCCCTCCTCGGCGTCAACTTACAACCCTCACAACAAAGGCAGAACCCTCACGTCACCGCGATCTCCGGAACGCTATTGAGACATCAAAGTAAAAAGGAAGTCATGATGAACAAGGGATTATAACCTTAAAATGAAATAGGTCTGTGTGTGCCCTTACAAATTGCACGCACATTAATGCAATGAATATTACGTCGTGGTCTGCTGTTCGCTTGCAAGTTTCAGATTTACTGCAATACACCCATCCATGGACGGGCAAAAGGCTAGTTCTATCATATTTACACTTGCCCCCTCAGTACGGGGGTTGAGCAGTGTTATGTCAATTACACTTGATTGGTGCGCATCTGCTCATAGTTACAAGTAGGTTAGGCTCATTTCGTATTTGTTCACTTTCATAAATTTGCCGCTCTTGCTCACGGCAAATGTTTGTACTAAAATGGTGGAACACCCTCGTAGTCGCTCCAAATTTCTTATTTATTATATACGCGTGCATTTTCCCTCTCCCTTGCTTCTTTCGCTAAAGTCACGTTCAAAGAAAACTATTATTTACAAACGTATTTAGTGATTATAAATGTTAGACTGTGCGTGTGTAGGTCCATGTGTACTTGTGAGTACATGTATGTGTGCGTTGTGTCTGTGGGAGTACATGTGTGTGTGCGTCAATGTGTGTGTGTGACAGGCGCTGTGTTTGTTTGTGTACGTCCATGTGTGTGTGCGCTGTGTAAGTCGATGTGTGTGTGTCAGTCGATGTGTGTGTAAGTCCATGTGTGTGTGTTAGTCGATGTGTGTGTGCGTTGTTCCATGTGCGTGTGAGTCTATGTATGTGTGTGTTTAAGTCGATGTGTGTTTGTGGGTCCAGGTGTGTCAGTCGATGTGTGTGTACGTCGAAATGTGTGCGTGTCCATATGTGCGTGTAAGTCGATGTGTGTCTATGTGTGTAAGTCCACGTGTGTGTGTCTTAGTCCATATGTGTGTAGGTCTATGTTTGTATGTAGGTCGATGTTTGTGTGTAAGTCGATGTGTGTTTGTGTGGGAGTCCATGTGTGTGAGTCGATGTGTGTGTGTAAGTTGATGTGTGTGAGTGAGTCCATGTATGTGTGTGCGTCGATGGGTGTGTGTAAGTCCATATGTGTGTGCGAGTCAATATGTGCATGTGTAAGTCGACGTGTGTGTGTCGCTGTGTGTGTATAAGTTGTGTGGCAAAACAACCCCCTACCTCCTCGTGTTGCCCGTGGACAGTGCCGTGGGGGGAGGGCCAATTCCGATTGCCTGTTCCCCTCAGGGCGTTTGTAGCCACCACATCGGCTAAATTGGGGCTCTGGATGGGTGCGAGGGGCTGGTAACCCCTCCACCTTCAATAAATTACCACTTAAACCACGTGTAAAATATCTAATTAAAAAGCTTGTGCCGGAGGCCCCGGGGGGACAGGCGTCTATGAAGTCTCCTGGCCAAACCCCATTTGGCGGAGCCAGGAGATTAAATCTTTACCCTCGGAGCTCCTCCAGAAACAACAAAAAGCCACGACGGTTGGCCACGTGGAATGTTCGAACGCTCACTGTGGAGGAGAGGCTGCCACTCCTCTGTCGGGAGCTGGACCGGTACCGCCTGGATCTCTGTGGCATTCAGGAGGTCCGGTGGACCGGCTCTGGCTCCTGCCACCATGAGGGGTGGACAGTCCTCTACTCGGGGTAGGAGACTGCCAAACAACAGGGTGTGGCTCTTCTTCCGAACAAAAGAATGAAGGGGGCGTGGGAGCGTGGTGGTGAGGTGTGGGAAGCTGTAAGCCCCAGGCTACCTTGGGCTCGCCTTCCCATCAACCGGAGGCGAGGAGTGGTGGTCATGATTACTTATGCCCCCACCGTAGATGAACATCCGTGGAGGGATGCAGGCAAGGCCGATGAGTCAGATGCCTTCTATGACCTCCTGTCACAGGTGCTGGCTAAAGTGGCCCCTCGGGATAGAGTCATCTTGTTGGGTGACTTCAATGCCCGAGTTGGTCATGATGCTGGCACCTGGTCTGGAGCGATTGGAAGGCATGGGCCAGATCAGCTCAATGACAACGGTAGGAGGATGCTAGATTTTTGTGCAGCCCATGGGCTTGTAATTACCAACACGCTGTTCCAGCATCGGCACATGCACACAACATCATGGATGCATGCCAGGTCCAAGCAAGAACATCTGCTGGACTACATAGTGACGGACCAGCGGATGCAAGCCAGGACCTACCGTGGAGCTGATCTGCCCTCTGACCATCAACTTGTCATCTGTAAGATGCGCCTGCCATTCTTCCACTCCGGTGGTGGGTGTACACCCAGGACCCCATTCCAATCTAAGGTGGCCTGGTCTCAGCTAACTGATGGAAGTTGCAAGCGAGAATTTCATCATCGCTTGCGGCTGGGGTTGGCATTGTCCCCCACTCCTGATGGCAAGGGTAAATGGGCGAGGTTTAGGACTGTGACTCATGCAGCAGGAAATGGCTGCTTTGGGTACGCGGTCTAGACCTCCCCAGAGACCCTGGCCGACAGAGGGGGAATCCCTCAGCCTGGAAAACATCATGGAACAAAGTGGAGATGCCCCTGCTGAGGCTGCGGTGCCTCAATAATTGGAGGAGGAAGTCACCCCCTGTGAGTGGCTGACTGAGGTGCCATCCGTTGAGGAAGTACTGAAGGCGATCCAGAGTCTGAGAATAGGAAAGGCACCGGGCAGAGATGATCTCCGAAGCAAAATGCTGAGGGAGGGTGGCGTTTGTGCGCAGACTGCCCTACAATGGCATCATAACAACAGTCTGGGCCACTGGACGGGTTC